AAGGCGAATACCACCATCATTTTTATGGCATCATTTTAATTGCTAGCCAAGTACGCTCTGTATTTGTCTAGGATAACTTTGCTGTAATAGAAATTCTACATCGCTTTTCAACAGTGGGTCTGGAGCCCATACATAAGAGAAGTTCATTGCCATCAATGTGGATTTGTCTGTCTATTACAAGATAAGACAAATGTATGCATATTTTTTCTTAGTTGGTATTTTTAAATACTATTTAGTCTCCAAATTATCATTTCTCATCTATATTTTTCAGATCATTTCCTAACAACTACTGGGACAAGTTTGTTAAAAGAAAGGTAATGCCGTATATTATTTTTTATAGGCTTTTTTGGTCTGATTCTTTAAGTTTATTGAAATTTTGTATGTTTTTTTGTGAAATAGAGGATGATACGTTTCTCTAAAATATATGTATGCTCATGTATATTACTGTTGCTACCTTTTTACATTATTTTAAATTCCTCACCTGTTTTATACACGTAATTACACATTTTTATATACAAGTTGGGCAATTAATTTTGAATATGTGTTCCATATAATTTAGAGATCATGAGGGAACCTTATGACCGTAAAGTCTGTAAGTCTGAGGGTATGTCTAGACTGCATCCCTCCGTCAGCAGAGGGATGCATATTAGGCAGGTCGACATTGCAAATGAGGCAGGGATTTAAATATCCTGTGCCTATTTTTCATAAAAATGGCTGCCGTGTTTTACCGACTCAGCACTTTGTCTGCAAAAAATGGCAGTCTAGAGGCAGATCTGTCAAGAAAGAAAATCTTTTTTGACAGATCCCTTATGCCTCCTGCAAGGAGGTTTACAGGATCTGTCGAAAAAGGCTTTCTTTCTTGACAGATCCCCCTCTAGACTTTTTGCCAACAAAGTGCTGAGTCGGCAAAATGCGGCAGCCATTTTTATGCAAATTAGGCACGGGATATTTAAATCCCTGCTTCATTTGCAATGTCGACCTGCCTAATCTGCATCCCTGTGCTGACAGAAAGATGCAGTCTAGACATACCATGAGTCTGTTGGCTTTTCTTTTCATTAAAATCAGAAATTTAAGAAACATGCAAAATGTTGTATGTATACGTTACATATATGCAACCATATTTTTTGTTTGTGTACATCCATATCTATCTATTTATAGAACATTATCTATGAACAGATAGATGATAACAAGGAGTGGTGACAGTTGCTTAAATATGAACTTTGATACTAGTTTCTTTAAAATATTACTGTCAACCATTACTCTAGTTTCCCCCAAAATAATTTGATCTTGCTAAAAAGTCAATCGCAATATCATCACACACAAAAATATTTTTCTAAGGAGGCTGGTAAAGATTAAAAAGGATTTTAATGTTGTTGGGTTGGTTTCATGTCTGTTGGCACAGGCTTTGTGTCAGTATGACTCCACTGATTTCAGAGAAATAGAGTTTTTTTAAACATTTATTAGAAATTGTCTCTTAAAATATTTCTCACTTTTTTGGCTCATAATAATTAGTACTTTGGCTAAAAAAATGTTTTATTAGTCTTGCTGAGGAAGATGCCATTTCTATATTTTGAAGGGCTTATAAGGAGATAGTGAGTCAAACAGTCTGCACTAAAATAGTACAGGAAGGGTACGCAGTAGCTCATAAATGTAAATTTAGCAAAACGTAGCATTGGGAAAGGAAATATTATGCTTTTAATCAGACTGTAGAATGCCCACTTTATTATGCTGGGGTAGAGAAATACTCTGAATAGAGCTGTGTGTATTAGAGGCAAGATCTGATATTTTAAGGAAGGGTTCTTTGCTTTACATACTTTTTTTCTACTCCCCAGGATACTGCCTGAGACACAATCATAAAGAGCTATTTGTATGCCTATACAAAAAAAAGGGGGGGGGGGGAGGAGAGAGGTAGAGGATTAACCTTCAAGTATACAAAAATGTCTAAACCCCAAATTATTAGTCACCTAAAACAATACCATTTCATATTGAGTTGTGTGTCTGTAATCTGTAGGGTGTATTTTTGCAAAGGATAAGTAAATCTAGTGGGATATCAGTGACTAATAATGGATTCTGATGTGGTGGGGAACATGTACATCCTATAATTGTTCATGTTCATTTATTGTAACATTGCAGATATTTTGTGAAAAGAATAGAATATAAGTAAGCATAAATGTAATGCTATTTTTCAGTGTTATTTGGATGGCAGTGAAACTCGACTTTCACGTATAGTCCTGTTAATGAGGGGTTTTGTTTGATGTATATGTGTATATGATATATATTTTGTATACATTATATTATTGAAATTAACTTAAATATTTATATAATTAAACAGAGATAACTGGAAAAATGTGAATATATGTGCAAAAATTGTCCCTTTTCTGGTTGAAAAAACATACCGGTAAATGTAAATATTTTTGCAACCAGCTGTATCAAGCATACCTAGAGTAACTTACTCTAAGGTGGAAGTAAATTATCAGAGTAATGAAAACCTTACCATGCTCCCCCACAACTGATTTGTATTGAACGTTCCTCCACCATTTAGGTTATGGATAAATACGGGGAGTTCTATGGCCGGGACAGAATCAGTGAGCTACTAGGAATGGACAAGGCTGCTCTGGATTTCAGCGATGCACGAGAAAAAAAGAAACCAAAGAAAGATAGCTCCTTATCTGCAGTGTAAGTACTCCTCTCTCTTTTCTGGTATAAATTAAAATCAAGCATTTGATTTTTGTCATTTAGCTTTAAATATTGTGGCCGTGCTTATTCTGTACATGAGAAATGTTCTTGATTTTATGATTTAATGAGAGGCATGGACAGACAGAAGCTAGAGGCAATGTAAGCAGAGAAGTCACGGGCCAGCAAGTTATTTTATGGCTGTGAATTAATTTTGTTATATTAGTGTTCAAATGCATAATATTGCTATTATTTTAATAAGACCTATTGATTGCAGTGCTGGAACTTTCATTATCTTCATTAGATTGTTCATGCAATCCTAATTAGACAGACAGAATGTATAATGGGGTACACCATGCATCCCAATTTTAGAAACAAGTAAAAAGAAATATATATGTGGTTAATAGACAATGCCATAATTGCTGTACAATCTAGGAAATTAGATGTCTAGTCTTTGAAATATTGCTTAACTTGCCTTATGCAGTGTAGCTGTAGCCATGTCAGTCCCAGGATATTAGAGACACAAAGTGGGTGAGGTAATATCTTTTATTGCACCAATTTATATAAATTGGTGAAAGAGATAAGCTTTTGAGTCACACAGCCCCTCTTCAGATATGGGAAATGAACTCCTAGCATCTCAGCAAAATACAAGGTGGGAGTGATTACAATATGTGTAAATATAAGTACATATTGTAAAGGACCATTCAAGGTAGACTGTCATATTAACACCTCTGCAGTCATAGGATAAAGATGGTTTTAATGGGTTACAGATTGTCTTGATTGTGGGGGATCTTCTTTCTGATGATGAGCTTGGAGAGGTTTGAAGGCCAGAAATAGAGATTCAGGGGAGATTTCTTTCAGAGGGGGTTGCCATTGAACATAGTTTTAGCTGTTTGATGGTACCACTAGTAACATTCTCACTTTACCATTTGTTTATCAAAGGCACGTTCTAAGTGACCATCACATTGGCTGCTAGAAAGACAAGTGAGAAAGGGAATCCTTATGGCTGATCTACCACTGTGTTCCATCAGGATAAAGTTTCATTGTGACTATACTCCAAGTTTCTGACATAAATCAGACTGTACACATACCTGCATTTTTTTTCTGAACTTTATATTACCAATAAGGACCAGAGATTTCATTCTCTGGATGTGTGTTGAGCATTGCTTTTCTGCCATCAGAGAACAAATCCCTTCAGGAAATGCCTAGACTGCTCATGGCTCTAGCAAAACAAAGGCTATCAAAGTAGATTTTAGCCTGTATCTTGTTCTGTTATCAGTTATAGAATCAGAGAAATATAATTGGAAGGGACCTCAATACGTCATCTAGTCCACTGAAGCAGAAATAATTTTAATTAGACCATCTATAGCAGGTGTTTGTCTAACTCAGAGAAGCTGCAATCAGGAGGGCACTGGATACTATGGATGTTAAAATGAGGTGATTTTACTAATCGAGTACTCGATAGAATTTTGATCAATTACTCAATTAGTCAAGGGCAGGCAGCTGGGACCAAACCCCGCCGTGGCTCTGCAATTTAAAAGCCAGTAGGTGCTGGGGGAGGAGTGGGGAGAGTCTGTTAGAAGTGTGTAAAAGTTTGTACGATGCCCCTGTGTACTGAGGAGCTCCGAGAGGCCTTCTGCTGAGAGTGTCTGTCATACTTCTCTGGCAGGTGTTGAGCTCCACACTATCCCCAGTGCAGTCCTATGCCAAAAGGCATATTCTAATCCACACTCAGAGTGATGACATTCATTTTTGTTGCTGCTGCTGTTAAACATATCTAAATTATCTCTCCTCTGTGATTAAACACTCTCATTTTACTCCCTCAGTAAATTTCCTTTCCAATATCTTTATACTCCTTTTTTTTCAACAGCCTTCATCCTTGATTTCAGTAGGACAAGATGAAGTCTATTTCTCTAAACATATTCCTGTTTCTGCTTGATAGGAACATTCTATAATAACCACATGTTCTCCATATGAATTCTACTATTCCTTCCAACTTTAGAGAAACAGGACAATTATAGCTTATTATACTTACAGGATAATACGCTTATGGTGGACTAGATGCTGTATGATTTCCCACTGAGCTTTTTATACATATCTTCTTTTTTGCAGGCTAAATTCGGTTGATGTAAAGTATCAGATGTGGAAATTAGGAGTTGTTTTCACTGATAATGTAAGTTCATTTTACTACATCTATAATAAAACAAAACAGAATTCTAGACATGAGGAATTGCTTAAAATGTAGATCTGATCTGATTACTTTTGTATGCTATTGATAATGATTTATTAATCTCAGGAGGGGTAATATTGCTTCATCATCCTGAGCTATAAACTTAGATAGGCAAGCTTACTACTTAGGGTGCATCTACATGCGGGGGGTGGCTAGCCGGGCAGCTGCGCGGGGTGCCAACCTATGGGGGGGCACCTGATTGAAGTGGTAAGGGGCGCTGCATCAAGCGCCCTCCATAGGTTGCCGCCTGGGGGTGGGGCCGCGCATGCGCTGTGTGCCCACTGTCTGGGGCGCAAGAATGGCTCGGACTGGCCCTGTCTACACTGCAGGGCTTAACTTGAAATAAGCTATGCAAATTGAGCTACGTCAATTGTGTATCTTATTTTTAAATAGCTTATTTCGAAATAGGGAGCGTCTACACAGAACTTATTTTGAAATAGAGCACTCTTCTTCCAACTTCCCTTATTCCTCGTCCAATGAGGGTTATAGGAGTTGGAGTAAGAAGTCCTCCAGCTTGACAATATTTTGACACTATTTCAAAATAACTGGCTGCTGTGTACACACAGACTAAGTTATTTTGGAATAGTGCTTTCAAAATAGTGTTGCTGTGTGGACGCACCCTTAGTTACACAAATAAAAAACTGCAAGAACTGCCTTTCAATTCTGCAGAGTTCAGCTGGATCTTCCTCTGGTTTGTCTTTGTGCTCCTCAGCTGTGCACAGAAACTTGCAATAATTTGTTTGTGGTATTTTATGATAATAAGGAAAAATTAATCTGAACTATTGTAGGGTGGGTATCAACTTTGAATCACAATTTCTCATACAAGGCTTAGCTCCATTTCCATTTTGTATGTGAAGCCACTGAACATCACTAGAATGAGTACAGATAGTTATAGTTGACTGTAGTGGAGTTACTCTGGATTTACACTGGTATATCTGGAAGTAGCCACAACATGTGATTTATTAACTCTACTTCCATGTTAAAAAAACTTTCAGTATATCAGACCTTCAGAATATATCCTGTCACGGGGTGATCTTGACCTTTGAGGATTAGGGCTCAGTCTCACTCATCCTAAGCCTCATTCGCTTTCCCTGCTGAAAGGAATGAACGCAAAGGATGGGGAGCTGGTGACTGAGAAGCAGACCTAGTGGGTCTGAGTTTGGGGTTGGAGCTTACTGGGAATAGGGCAGGTAACAGTTCTGCATTGCCAGGCTGCAGGCCTGCAGGGGAAGAGAGCCTGCTGATCTACAAAGGGTGTATAGGACTGTGAACCTAAAGGGGGAGCTATAAGCAAGAGGAAGCTCTGATTAAGGACTAGTGATAGAAATGTAGCCGTGTTAGTCTGGTGTAGCTGAAACAAAATACAGGCCTATATAGCACTTTAAAGACTAACAAGATGGTTTATTAGATGATGAGCTTTCGTGGGCCAGACCCACTTCCTCAGATCAAATAGTGGAAGAAAATAGTCACAGCCATATATACCAAAGGATACAATCAAAAAAATGAACGGGGTTTGTTGCAAGAGAAAGTTCCAGGATTGATATTAGTGTCATATGTCCTGTGGTTGTTGGTAAGAATCATCCTGAGGTTAGGTGGTTGTCTATAGGAGACTATGGGTCTGTCTCCCAGAGCCTCTCGGAGTGTAGTATCCTGTTCCAGTATAGGTTGTAGTTTATTGATAATGCGTTGGACGGGTTTAAGTTGGGAGCTATAGGTGATGTACCAAAGTACCAACCCTGGAACTTTCCCTTGCAACAAACCCCGGTGCCAGCTTTGTCCACATAGTTACTCTGCTGACACCATTACTGGACCTAACCATGCCAGTTACGAGATCAAGAACACATAGTCCTGTTCATCCAGAAATATAATTTATGCCATCATGTGCCTAAAGTGTCCATCTGCTATGTACACTGGACAAACGTCTCAGACACTTCGTCAAAGAATCAATGCACACAAAACAGACATAAGACTCTCTCACCGGGAGAAAGCTGTTGCCTGCCATTTCAGCCAGACTGATCATTCCCTTAATGACCTTAAAACATGCATATTGCTTCAAAGAGACTTTAGCTCCAGACTTCAACGAGAAGCTTCAGAATTGTCATTCATGCTTAAATTTGACACTTTATGTATGGGTTTAAACAAAGACTCTAATTATCTCACCCATTACAAAGATAGCTTCCCCAATTATCACCCCTAATGTCATTACCTCACAGAAACTTCCCCTATTATCACCCCTACATCATTACCTCACAAACACTAACCTTTGCCTCTCACCCCCACTCTTCTAAAATTTGATTTGTCAATTTCACATGCATTTATTTTTATGATTGTATTACTTTGGTATATGTGGTTGTGCTGATTTTCTTCCACATAGTGATCTGAGGAAGTGGGTCTGGCCCACGAATGCGCATCACCTAGTAAACCATCTTGTTAGTCTTTAAAGTGCTACATATTTCTGTCTTTTGTTTCTGCTAGACTGGACTAACACGGCTGCATCTCTATCACTATTTTATAAAAAAGAGTTGAGAAACACTGCTCTAGTGTAGCATGTAGTGTTATTTTACCTCCCCTCTTAATGTGGTGCAGTAGAAAAATTCACTCCATGTTTACAGATATTACTGAATCTAAGGGCATTCATTATAGAAAGCAAACCATAACATGCATAAGATGTTCGGCTAAGATACTGGGCTAGATTAAACTTTGGTCTGATCCAGTATGGC